GTGGTGTAGTGGAAATGCTTCAAGGGTGTGCATCGGTTAATACCCGCGGAACCTGAATATTACCAAACTCGATTCCTACCTCGCCAAAGACCTGTCCATCATAATCCAAGTACCGGCACTCCAGTTTATTAATACTGCACTCCTTTTTCCGTGGCCTCTTCTCCAGCGTCAAATATGACACATCGCGGCTTGCCCGGTGCCCAGACACGTGGTATATACGTGTGAGCCAGGCTTGAAGAGCGCCCAGAGAAGGTCATAGCTGATCTGCCCAGACTGCAACAATGGTGTGAGATGCTGTTTCGTAGCAGCATATGCACTCTTGATATGTCTGACAAGCAAGAGGAGATGTTCCAGACCCTGGGGTTTGGAGTCTGCAGTCACTCGCAGCTTTTCTGCATGCTCACAGAGCTCCGGCAAGAAATGAAAAAGGGTTCTTTGTTCAATCTGGTTCTGTGTTAGTCTCTATATTTCCTCTTCTTTGAGTTTCACTCACCGACGGCTTATCTTCCATTAAGTTTACTCCCTTGGCATATTGTAGCATCCCCCGCAGGATATCACGCAACACCTCCGATTTAACATCAATGTATGACGTCGACTCTTTCGACTCGTTATCTAAGTCATTTTAGAATTTGCCTGATTAGGGAATCCTCTCTCTCTTACCGATATGCTCGCGGACAACAAACACATATTCATCCAGAGCATCAACGGTATCGTCCTGTTCAATCGATTCGATAGTTTTGTACTTTGATATGGCTTTGTCCCAACTGGTTCGCTGTCAGTCACAGTCGAGGAGTAGTGAGAGGTATACTGGGGTCATACACTTCCATAACGCTTTTGAACTCGGGTCTCGACGCGCGATATCTGACTGCCGAACGGGAAGCTATTTCCAATCTGGTACCAGCTGTATTGGACTGGCGTTCACATGGATGTCAGCATACACTCCATTGGCGGTTTTGTAATCTATCTTTGAAGCGCGAACCCTTTTCTCATCTTCATTTTGGTCTTCATCGCTAGCTTGCTTTCGGTCGGCTGGCTCGCTCCCTGGGTCCAGGGAGGAGCGTGTTTTCGCTGCCCTGACTTCGCGAATGACTTCTAGCAGATCTTTCAATTCTTCTTGTGTGATGGGCGGCTGAGCAACACAATGCTGGGGACTTTCATCGATAGGGGTACATGGACGCGTTTGGGATAGCGGGGGAGTGGCAGGGGACTTGCCATTGAGTTTCATTGCTTGAGGCATCGTGGTAGTTGATGGATAAAGAAGTGTTGGAAACTGGTCTGGGGAACTGGGCTTGATGAGGTCTGTGAGTGTCTTCATTGCCTCAGAATTCCGGGGGGATTCGTGCTTCCTTATAAGCCATTCTGCCAACACTCCCAGCACCTATTCTTTCCCCGTCTTCTTCTGCTTGGACCCAATGGATACGAGAGGAGATGGCCGTCGCTCCCAGGATACATGGTCTCGACCCCGTCGACATGATTTGGTCGAGCCGTGCGTGCATATCTAGACGTAGAATAAGCTGTACATCCCAACCTAGAAACCCATCTCGCCATACGCCACAAATTTGCTTTACCAACTGTGCAATCGAGGCAAGATGATATCTGATCCAATACACATGTGACAAATTGCGCGTAACTTGCAGTAGCTGTTCCTGTTCAGTTAGGCCAAGCTGGAAAAACAATAAGTCGTTTGTGTAAATGCATGGAGTGTCTCATTGGATGACTGAACAAGCCTACGCCTCATTAGGAAATTCCTTGTATCAAAAAAGGGCAAGCAGGGATTAATTCACCCTGTGCCTATTTCTGACGTTATAAAAGTGCGACCTGCCTTTTAACGGCATGTCGCACTTTGCAGACGTGTCGAACTTCACCCTGCTGCCTTTCTTTGTGATACTTTCAACTACTTTTAAATGATTTATCCAATAAAACATGCCACCAAACCCTCTTTGTGGACAATTGAGCTCCCTCGCCGAAAAAGCGAGCTTGATAGCTGGGAAATTTGAAAGCGATCACGATTTTACCAGTGACCAATATGAAATTTTGGAGACTCTGACCTCGAAGATATCCGAGGCTATCGCTCGAACTACAGTGTTGATCCAATCGAAGAGGGAAGCACATTTTGCAGAGCATAATCGCTTTCTCTCACAAATGTTATCAGAAAGGGACGATCTCATCGAAAGCGGGCAGTTACCTAACGAAACAATATTCAGAAGAAACATCGAACTCATATTCCATGGCCCGAAGTTATCGAATCTCGACTCTCGTCAAACCAAAGGAAGAAAGGAAATAACGCGTCATAGATGCGACGACCTTTCCAATCTTAGCCCTGACGGTATCATTTTTTGGGCAACAACGCTACAGCCAGTGAATTGGGCGGGAGGTTCGATGGCGCAGGATCGTTTCAAATTCCTTACCGCCAACGTGGACTTGGACCGCGCACAGATGTGGCCGTCTCAGATATTCAAAATACTACGTGTGCTGGCCACGGAAGCGCCACTGCATGAATCAAGGAAGTATGAGACGTTTCTGAAAGGTTAGATAGACACACTAGCGACCACGGAGCACGACACTGATGGACGATTAGCACTCGAAAAATCTTCAACCGAATTGCGCTCACCAAAGCGCAGGCATGTAACAGCGACGGCCGAGCCGTCAAGCGAGAATCTCCAGCCTCAAAGTACGTATACCAGCTCGTCACTGGAAAGAATGCCTGCTCTAACGACTCTGCAGCCATCACTTCAACTCACTCAACGGTTTTACCTGTCACCATTGCAGACATGGAAATTATCCGCGATTACATGAAAGAAGGACATCCGAACGACTTGTTCATCTCGTTTCCACATGCAGTTGAATGGCTACCTTTCATTTCTATTCCTTATCATATATGCGTGAAAATCATGGAAAAATACACAAATCAGAACAAAATAGCTCATCAGACATAGGAGCATTAATCAGACAAAACTTGCTTCGAAACGGGGCTCATAATGAACCTGACTTTGGCGTAACCCATCAACCAGCAATAGTAATTGGGTTCCAAAAATATCATAGTCACTTTGTCTTCCGCGTCGGATTTTGTCTCGTAGGCTGCAATATCTCGGTGTAACCCATTGTCGTTAACAAAAATGCGGACTGCCCCAAGTCCACTTTTGAATTTGATAACGACCGCCGAAACGCAGGAATAGGGACCGCGTTGCAAAACCTTGACCGGAGTTATCCATCCTTCCACAATGCCATTCGTGCCAGTCTATAGATTTATTCAGCTGGGCGTTCAATAACTCGGCCTTGGTAAGAGCAGTACCTCCTCGTTAAACACTGTTTTAAGTCCATCGTCATCTTCGGCAATGGATGTGACGTCCTTTGTTTGAAGAGGCCCGCTCGTCATAATGGTCACTGATACCGACCGTCCTTCTCTTCGGTAAACATATGATTCAGCGTAGTTTTATGTCTAAAACTTAATAGGTCTCTTAACGTATTTGCGAATGAATGTAGCGCCTGTACCGAGAGCCTATGGGGGTGCCGTGGTGCTTCGATAATATACTGCAGGAAGGTAGGAGAGTTAGCTTCATCAATGGCTTTTGGCATGAAGTGAGAGTAAAGAATCAGTGAGATTACCGCTCTGATCTCGAAGCCTACAGTTTATGATATACCAGTGAAACCTAAGTATCAACACTTGAGCAGTGTCTCGTGTTTATAAATATAAAATCCAAAGGTGGTTGACAAATTGCCATGTGGTCAGAACCATTTCTGAGACGAGAGAAAAAAAATTGTTGAGGGGTAATAAATTATGTCATGATACAGGGTATGGTCATGTGATACGGAAATTATCTTCATCCGCGGGATCAGGTTAAAGATAGTCCATATGGAAATCCTAGTCTACAATATTGTTGGGCACCAATGCATCAGGCAGTCTGCACGGTCTTCACCACAACCCATTCAACCTCAAATAGAGCGTTCAGACCCCAAAAATTCCGCCTTACCTTTTGGTCCAGTAAAACAGTAACCATGTGATTCGCGCAGGCAACCAAATTAGTTTGGATTAGCTCCACACATATTGAGCAGCAATCAAGCCCCTGTTTTTCCCGTTGCTTGCCTCTCATTGGCTGGTCACCAAAATCACATGATCATCATCTTTGGCTGGAATGGATTCTCCTCGGCCACATTGAAGCATATGTGAGTCATCCTGGAAATGCAGCCATCTCCGCTGCTGTCGTTGCCAGTGGACTGTTCCAATCTTTGTCGCAGTGCTATCGAGTCACTCTTCTTGCAGGCTTCGAAGTCTGTTTTATTAATACACCACCGATATAAATGGCTTCGTGGCCCAACACGTGTGCAGAGGAAAGAAAGAGCCCCACGGTGAGAGTCGTGATTCGCGCCGGCCTACTTCTCACTGATAATTAATCGACAGGTAAACATCGGTACGGACGGCCACATCCTCTTAGCCGAAGGATCACACGCCTTTGCAATACACACCAAGCCGATGAGTGTGACATCGAGCAAAGAGTCTTATCCCCGCCGACCACGAATCGGCCCGGAGGTACTGTACGACAGCCATAGCATGCCAGGTTTCTCAAGAAGAAGCTAACTTTGCAGAATAGCTCTTGCATGAACATAACCGGAAGCGTAAGCAGGTTGAGCCACTTCAGCGCCCACTCGAGCGGTTTCGAAAGCGGCGGCGGCTCGGTCATTCACCTCCAGATGAGAAAGCAGGAGACGGGAGACGAAACGAAACCAATTACCCTCTGACGCACCTATCGAACAAGCGACTTCGAACTGACAGCTGCGTCAAATATTGGCTACTGCATAACTATCGGTGGCCCAAGCAGTCATTGGAATGCGACTCAATGGAATCCTTTCCTTGCACGACCGAAAACCTTGTCCCTTCGTCGAACAAAATCCAGTGCGAGTTTGAGCGTAGCGAGCGAATCTAGTTCACGAGGAGCGAAAAGTAGCTCTTACTGTGATAGAATTGCGAATTATTTCTGGAAACCAAAAGAAGCTACTGTATGAGCATGAGATGGCATCAGTTAC